GAAGTAATTCAATTATCTGCATAATTTGCAATTTTGCATAATGGAAAATGAAAGTGTTGGTTGATTTTTACTCTCATCTCTAAAGTAATTCAATCCGTATAATGGAAAAGGAAAGTGTTGGTTGATTTTTAGTTTAATCCATTAGATTTAGATTTTTTGGAAATGTACTCTCATCGTTGAAGTGTTAATCTTTGGCAAATTTTCACAACTTGCAGTTGCACCAAAATATACAAAACATTAACGTGTGTAAAATATTCCACCTACAATGTAATTTGTGAATTGATTATCTATATTTGTTTCAGTAGGAACTCTATTCATATGAATTATTTATCAAGCTTTACAATTGGAACAAGGTGGAATTGCGCCCTTCTGGCCTTGTAAATTGCAGTAATAGGTAACATCATATGGTACCTGTTCATGTGATCGTGTTTGGAAAAAAAAAATTGCATAGAACCTAGTAGTGATGTGAACTTGGATTAGATCTTTAGGTCTTCATAAAGTTTTGTATCCAATTGTGTTATAAACTTATAAATTCATACAATTCCTTGAGTTTTCTTCTCTTGGAGTCCTGCTACTTATCTCTCTTAATCTTGCTTTTTTAATAGGATTCAGATAAAGCTTGCAAATTCATACCCCAACTATGTAAAGAAAATTCAGCCCAATAGCCTAAAAACCCAAAACTATTTTGGGATTTTTGATTTGTCCCTAAATCCCGAAATTTAGGATTTCCGAAAATTTGATTTATGATCAGTCTTGAAATTGAGAATTCCGAGAACTTCGATTTGAGAATCGGGATGGATTTTCAGTTCGGTATCTCATACCGAATCAGCCCTATTCATGGGTCGTGGTCTTTTCCTCATGGGTGCTGCTGATTCAAATTCAGAATCATAGAAAAAATCATTTGGGGTTAAATAATGAGCCTAGGCAAGAAATGAAATTCATCATTACTAAATTGCATCAAATTGTAAGCTAATTGCAGGCGATTATCAGCAAACTGTAAGTCAAAATTAGAGAAAATAATTAAAAAAATAATAGTAATTAGGAATTGAGTGATGAGTACCTGAAAAATGAGTAATAGAAGAGATTGGTGAGCAAGAATGGCAGCATCCACCAGCAAAGAAAGCGGCATAAAATCAGCAGCGGTAGTGTGGCGGGAACTCATTGCAGACCCACCAGCCTCTACCGGACAACCGAGGCCTGGGAAGAAGAAGGTGAAGTCGGAGCCGGCGTCGACGATGACACGCTCGGCCTAACAGGGTAGGGGGTGTTGACGAAGAAAGTTGCAGATCTGATAAAAAAAATTAATAAAAAATATTTGACACTGCTGTCAAATTTGGCAGGAAGAGTAAGAGCTGGAATTCTATGTCATGCCACATCAGATTTGATTTCTCGGTTGAAAAATATTACAGTTGTATTTTTTAACTGTTATTACTGATTTTGACATTTTGATATCTCCTTTGAAGATGCTCTAATTAGCCGAACATTCTATCATAAAACTATACTCTTGAAATATGAGGTAAGCCGTAAGCTTGGGTGAGGGATTAGTGCCGAATCAATTTATTAGCTGACAAATGTGCGAGCTCCACTATATATTTATATGGCGGCAGCTCCATGGCATTATTTTTGTTACACAACTTTTGACATGTATTTTGTGCAGCTTATATAGTAATGTATTTTAATGATCTGAATTCTATATTTTAGGTTTTCCATTAAAGGTCATGTCTACCAAAAATCACCAAAATCTGAAACTATATGACCGTTATATTAATGGTTTATGGTTTCTTTGTTGAACAGTATTTGTCCATTTCTTCACTACAAATGAATGTCTTAATAATTTTAGATTTGTCTAATTTTTTGCAAGGATGATGTATGAATGATGTTTTAAAGATAGACGGTTCATATCGTTAAAATACATTATGGAGTAGCCGCCACAAAAACATGTGTAAAAGGTTGTGTAAAAAAATAGTATCACAGATCTGCCGTCATTTATATATGTATTATATATACTTACTATCAATGCGTAATCCATAAACCTAATTATGACCAATTCTAATGGAGCACACAAGTCTCACCTATACTAGTGGTTTAATTCTGCAGAATTTCCACAAGGAAAATAGTCATTACATCAAGGTCAACTTAAATTTACCTAACCAAGGTATGTGACGAAACTTTTCGACGAACAAAGCAAGGGGTTTAGAGTTGTGACATGCATGGTACATAATTAGACTAATGTAATTATATATGCATGGTAATATAAAACAAAATTAAAAATTAACAATTAAAAACAAAATAATTATCAAAACGGGCTTAAGTTGTTTTTTTATTTTTTTTTGTTTTTAACAAACAATAGTATTTACTACTAAGTGGGAAAGTGAGTAAAGCCTTCTAATAGGTTTGCCAGAATTGAATCTAAAACATTTTCTTTACAAGTGAAGAGTAATACCACAAGACCGTAGTACTAAATGTTAACGGACTTAAGTTGTTAAATAATACATAATCGTTTTGCCAAGCTTTTAATTTCAATGGACAGTTGTAAAACACTTGCCGCTTAATCCGTTTACACTCTCTCCATATAACAAAATAAGAAGAATTTGAATCCTATTCCCAATAATGCTCATGTTTCATACTAATTAATGTATAGAAATAGGCTGTTCCTTATATACAATGATATTGGGGGTAGGAGATTGATTTGACTTAAGTCGCACATTTTTCTAGTTATAATTGTATCAAATTTATCATTTATGAAAGTTAAACATGAGACTTCTATTTAAAGATTGAGATACATGATACTACATCATAGTGCTAGTGACATAGGTTGTTCGTCTTTATCAACTCATATTTATCTATTTATTTAGCAAGATATTTTAACTTAGTTAGCTAAGAACATTTATCAATATTTTTTTGTTTGTATAAAGAACCATTTTTATTTATGATTTGTTTAATAATTATTTCATTTTTAATAGTTTGTTTTTATTTTTCCATTAAAGATAAGGAAGAAAGACATGGGAGGAATGACATATAAAGTTGAGAAAAGATAGGTTGAAGAGATGTAAAAGAAATATATGAGGAGATACAAAATGAAAACCAAAACCTAACTATTTTAACTTCAATATTTTTTTCATTCATTTTTCTGTTGTAGCCTATATTTAATTGAGATAAAAAAAGGGGTGCAACATGGAGAGAAAGAGAGTGGAGAATAGGTTTGAGGAATTCTTTGTTGTTCTCCATTCATTGTGCCGTTATTTATAGTAGTAAAGAGGAGATACACTTGCTCTTCAAGAATATAAAGTCTAATAGGAAAAATCAAAAGATTCCTAATATATCTCTACTTAGGATTTAAACAATCACAATATATATTAGAATGCTATGACAACATTTTCATCTTTTTTTTTTAATACTTTCTCATCATAATCTAGATGTCCTTCGTCCAGCCCCAACCCCAGCCACTTCAATCTCAAAAACCTTACTCTCAAGCAGTGGCGGATCCAGGAAAAATATTTCGGAGGGATCACATGTAAAAGTTTACAAACATTTTTAGACCTCTAATAACCTTAAAAATTAAGGAAAACTAATGAAAAAGGTTTGAAAACTTTGAGTTTTAATGATAAGGACAAAATAAAAGGTAAAGTGAATAGTACCAAGATTGACTTTTTAGTGTAAAAATGTGGTTTTTCGTTAAAGTGAACAGTACCGGGTGTTTTTCGTTAAATTTCCCTAAAAATTAAACTATAGTTCCACCATTCATAACTTATAGAACAAATAACAATACAAGTTACAATAGTCCCCGACGCGTTTTCATAAAACGTTGCATTATAGCTTCATTGTCAATGGAAGAAAAAACATTGCTCTCAATATAAACCACCATGCTATCACTCAACCATTGATCTCCCATTCGGTTACACAATGGAATCTTCACAATATTCATAACGGAAAAAGCTCTCTCCACTGAAGCAGTAGCAGCTGGTAGAACTAAAGCCAATGTAATTAGCAAATACACATGATTATATACTCTATTCCTCCCCATCTCCACCATTTTTTTTTTTTGCAAGGCTACCAATTCCTTTCAATTGAGAAAATTCACTACTTGAACGCATATCAAGAATATAATGCCCAAGTTGGTATTCAAGTGCCAAGAGTTGACAAGTAGTAAATTCATTCGGATAAAATGAGCAAAACAAATTAGCTTTTGTTCATCAAAAGCCTAGAATGAATCATCCGGGCTCAAACTTGCTAAATAAAGAAGCAAATATGTATTTACCTCATCAAGCAACTATTTAATTCCACAAGTTGCTTATCAATGATAGCAACAACGAGCTCCACATGATAATGATGTAAATTTGTGATTCTTTGAGCTCTACGTCGTGATCTCCCTCGAGTAACATATCCATCATCCATGCGTTTATTATTTTGGCTCTTGGTGTTTATTTATTTTTATTAAACTAAGCCTCCGAAACTATGTCGTTTTGACAAAATAATATTTATTTAAAAAAAGAAAAAGAAAAAGAAGAGCGACTCTTATATCCCAAAACACAAACGAAGACACTTATATCGAAAAATGATCGAAACTTAAACGATTAAAAACAAAATAATTATCGAACCAAGTCTGAATTTCGTCGAGGATAAGGATCGTCTAAACTGGGGCAAATGCAATGAATCTGCCTATGAAACTACATACAAAATTGGAAATTTTGACAGAAAAAAGTTACATTTGGCGGTGATGTCACAAACAGCGGAATTTGGCGGTATCACAAACAGCGAAATCTGCGGTTGATGTCAGAAACAACGATATCTGGCGTCATGATGTCACAACGGAATATTCAATTTTATTTAGGGGTGTGATATCCACACACCCCATTTTACTTCTCACACACTTTTTTAATTTTTGCCCGTCGCATCGGATGAATTGAAGAAGATCAACAGACATAAATCATCAAGGGGTGTGTGAGAAGTAAAATGGGGTGTGTGGATAGCACACCCCTTTTATTTAATCTTCCTCAATCTCGACCCTCCCATCAAAGCAAACGCATCCTGACCGTACACCCAGTGGGTTCGTCCTATAACACGCAACGACAGAGAATCATTTCTCTCTCTCTGCGCCAGCCCGGATGAGTTGTTAGGGCGAAAGCGAAAAATTGGGGATTTTTCGTACCAGTCAAGGTACGCGCGTTTGATAATTATGCAAGTTTTTAGAAACTAGGGTTTTGTTTTGGGGGTTTCTTCGTGTTTTATTCACTAGTATGTTGGTGAGCTTGCAAATTTTGAATTTTTATTTTATTTTACTTGTTGGGGTTTTGATTGGTTTCGTGCACTTTGAATTGATGTGTTGAGTTAGAGATTAATAGATGCTGGGTTTTTGTTTGTTAATTTGATTAGGGAATGTAATTAGAGCTTTAAAGTTGTTGTTTGTGAAAATTTGGTTGGGGTTTACTGTTAGGACTATTCAGATGGAGAATTGATTTCCACCGAATAAAAAGATGAATAACTGATATTTAGTGTTTAACTTTTTTAATTTAAGCAAAATTTTATTGGGTTCCACTGAAATTTGGATGCTCAAACAAGTGCTTATTTGTTCGTGTTTCTTTCTTTTGAACATGTTTCTTTCTTAACTGAAGTAATAAGTTTGGTCCGACTAGATCATTGTTAAATTTTCGTTGCTTGAACAAGCCCTTACTTTGTTCATGGTTTTTTTTGTTAACTGAAGTAATGAGTTTTGTCTGAGTAGATGATTTTTATTTTTAATTTTAAGCAAATTTTATAGGGTTCCACTCAGAATTTTGGATGCTAAAATGAGCCCTTATTGTTCATTTTTTTTATGTTAACTAGAGTAATGAGTTTGGTCCGAAAAGATGTGTGTTAGTGTGTTGAGAAAGTCATTAATAGATACAAACTGATAGCGTTAAGATGCTATGGTTTTTAATATATCCTTATGGTTAGTGTTAGATATCTGGATCTGAAATTTGTAGCAGGGTTTCCATGCTTACCATGCTTAGTGCTTTTTTTCTGCAGCTTGTAATGCCTAATTGTGATGATCGATGTGGCAATACACGTATAGTTATATGGTCAAATTTTAGCAGTAGTCATTTTTGATCAAATTTGGGTTTTAATCTGAATATGGATTATCACGTTTCGCCTAAAGATAAGGGAAATGATCACTGGGCTTCTGCCAGAGCTCAGGTTGAGAATTTGGCATCATTTGACGATGGAACAGGGAACCCGATCTCAGAGGATATGTTTAATAACATTTCTGAGCTCATGAACTTTGACACTTATGCTGGATGGTGCAGCCCAGCAGCAACGGACCAGATTGCAGCCTCTTTGGGGATGCCATCATGTCCATCAGTGACCTATACACCCTTGGATGCCTTGAATTTCGTAGGACATAATGGTGAGCAATTGCCAGGTACGAGTGGTGCGGGAACTTTCAATGTTGGGGGAAGTTTCAATTGTGGAGACAAAATTGTGTTTGAGCACGTGGGAACCCCCCAATATGGTGTTTCAACAGATTCCAATGATGCGAATGACTCAATTGTTAAGCTAAATAATGGGTCTTTTCAACAGAATAATGTCATGGGCATGGAAGACTATATGATCTATAGGCCACCTGGATTGTCACTCAATGAGAAGATGCTTAAGGCATTGTCGATGTTTAAAGAGACTTCTGGTGGGGGTATTTTAGCGCAATTATGGGTTCCCATGAAGCATGGTGATCAATACTTATTAAGCACTTGTGAGCAACCCTACTTGCTTGACCATATTCTTACAGGGTATCGTGAAGTCTCAAGGATGTTTACGTTCTCTGCAGAAGAAAAACAGGGTTCTATCTTGGGTCTTCCTGGCCGTGTATTTGTCTCCAAAACTCCAGAGTGGACTTCAAATGTTAATTTTTACAATAAGACTGAGTACCTGCGGGTGGATTATGCTGCTAATCATCAGGTTCGTGGATCAATTGCCTTACCGATTTTTGATTTTGACGTGGAAAGTTCATGTTGCGCTGTATTGGAACTTGTCAGTACAAAAGAGAAATCCAATTTCGATACAGAGATGGAAATAGTTTGCAGTGCACTTCGGGTCAGTTTCTCTCTTCTCGTGTAACAGCACACACGTACCATATGCAGATGATTGATGCAAATGCTTTTTCTTCTCTTTGTTAAACTTTTAGGTTCATGTTAGTAGAATTAGTAGACGTAATGAATGCCCCAAAAGGTTACATTTACTAATTTTTGTGAGGTGCTTCCCAAGATTACAAATTGTACTACCCTATATGTTTCATATGTGTTGATTATTGTTGTCGATGTTTAAGTGTAAAAATTAATATATTTTGATGGCAATTATGTGCAGGCCGTTAATTTGAAGACCAATGCGCCTCTCCGACTTCTTCCCCAGGTACATATCAGAATATGTTATCTATTTTTTTGTTATTTTCTACACTTCTTATGAGAGAACCTTTGCTTGCAGTGCCTCTCAAAGAACCAAAGAGCTGCTTTAACTGAAATAAATGATGTCTTGCGTGTTATATGCCATGCACATTTATTGCCATTGGCTATGACCTGGATTCCTTGTTGCTACTCTGAGGGAGATGATGATGGAATTAAAAGAGTACGTGTCAAAGGGGGTTTTGCGAATTCAGATGAGAAATGTATACTTTGCATCGAGGAAACAGCTTGTTATGTAAATGATAGAAGAATGCAAGGCTTTGTGCATGCATGTGCAGAACATCATCTTGAGGAAGGGGAGGGAATTGCTGGTAAAGCACTGCAATCAAATCATCCATTCTTCATTAATGATGTTAAAGCGTATAATATATATGAATATCCACTTGTTCATCATGCACGCAAGTATGGTTTGAACGCTGCTGTTGCAATTAGGCTAAGGAGCACCTACACCGGTGATGATGACTATATATTGGAGTTTTTTCTCCCTGTCAATGTGAAGGGGAGTACAGAACAACAACTTCTGTTAAACAACCTCTCAGGTACCATGCAGAGAATATGCCAGAGTTTAAGGACAGTTTCAGATGCAGAATTAGTTGGGTTAGGAAGCGCCAACACTGGGTTTCAGAAGGAGACAAGCCCTAATATCCCACAAAGAAATTTTCAGCCAACACTGTCAGATAGTGAAATGAATTCAGCTGAAAATGTGACCTTTAATGTTTTTAATCAAAGAAATGGGGGAATCGAAAGAGATAATCCTCCTAAACAGGTATTGCTTTTATAAAAGAACAATATTGTGGATAATTCACTTGTTTCAGTTTCTTTAAAGAACTTTATAGTTTTTATGATGTTTAATTTGAAACAGTGATGGAGATATTTTTTGGTCTTATTGAGTTTTTGTTAATTATAATGATGGAGATATTTTTTTGTCTTATTGAGTTTTTGTTAGTTATCTAGTACATATTTTAGGAACTACTAGTTATAACGAGAATGGAGGTTTATTGTCCACTGTTCTAAAACATAAATAGAAAAATAAATTATGTAGATACAATTAGATGTAACTCTCAATGGAAAGCATTGTAGAACCAAGAAATCATAATAGTTTTACCCTCCTTTTGACAAGATTGTTGCCTTTAAAGTTGCTTTCTGAAAGAAGCTGCTAGATTTAATATCAAGATGATTTATTTTTTATGCCTTTAAAGATTAGGAACATCTATATCCAACATAAATATTATGTAGTAATCTTATGTGTAATCCTTCCTTGAGACAGACCTCATCTTTTCTGTTCTGCATTAAGTCCCAATAATGACCAACATTATCCTTATGTTTCTTTCTGCCGGTTGAAATTAAACATCTCCATGTATTTGCTTTTGTAAATATGGAAACACTGCAAAGGGTCCTTATTATCCCTACCTGGAATGCTATGTTTTTATTGTATAATGGTTTTTCGTTGGCTCTCACTTGAGGAATATTGTTGGAGGGATAACTTTTTTGTACTCTTCTTCGTTGTATAGGCACCAAGTGGGTCAACAAGGCAGGCGGAGAAAAAGCGAAGTACAGCGGAGAAAAATGTAAGCTTGAGTGTTTTACAGCAGTACTTCTCTGGGAGTCTCAAGGATGCTGCAAAAAGTATAGGAGGTGAGAGTCATGTATAACGAGTCTACTTTTTAAGAATCCATATTTGGTTTTATCTTATGAATTCATTTTAATAAATAACTTCACATATTCTCTATTAATTATAAACTTTTTTATGATAAGGCACAAATGAAGCTTATTTTTCTGCCTTTATTATTTTCTTACAGAAAATTATATTTTTCCTCCATGCTCTAGTCAGTCCATGACTCCATGTAGAAAACAAACATTTACTGTCAAGTTTCCATGCAAATTATCATTTCATTGTTAAGTATAATTCCTGCTAATTATTTAAAAGGATTTCTTCACTTAACGTATCATTGGCTTTTGGCAGTTTGTCCCACTACGCTAAAAAGGATCTGCAGACAACATGGGATCTCAAGATGGCCATCTCGTAAAATAAATAAGGTGAACCGTTCATTGCGGAAAATACAGACGGTGCTTGATTCTGTTCAGGGGGTGGAGGGAGGATTGAAGTATGACCCAACTACTGGGGGTTTTGTGACAACAGGATCCATCATCCAAGAAGTTGATGCACCAAAAAATCTTTTATTTCCTGAGAAGAACCTGCTTGTTGAGAACTCTGAGCCAGTTGCCCGACATCCCATTTCAATGCCTTCCTACAATACTGGTGAGAGTTTGACAGTTAAGTTGGAAGAGGATGGGAGTTGTGTTCCAACTTCTCATGAGAAAGAGGTAAAGACACAGAGCATCCCTTTCATGCCTCAAGGGGACTCTAAGCCTATTGCAATGGATTTTGGATCATGCGATCCTACTAACCATGGGATCACACCTGATTCGAAGGGCTCTTATCTTGCAAAAGAAGTTAATAAATGGGGTCACATCCAAAACAGTCTAAGGTTAGACAATTCTGACTGCCACTTTGTGTCTCAGAACTCAAGCTCCTTGGTTGCTGCTGATGAGATGGACATGGGAGTACATGGAGATGATGGGATTGTTGAATATAACCAACATAGTTCTTCGAGCTTGACAGATTCATCGAATGACTTTGGTTCAACAATGCAGGGATACTCATCAAGCACTCAGAGCTTTGAGGAGCAAAAGCACCCACAAGTCGAGACAAGCACTGGAGAGAATGGGTCAAAAATAATCGTGAAAGCTACTTATAAAGAGGATACAATCAGGTTCAAGTTTGAGCCTTCTCTTGGGTGCCTTCAACTGTATGAAGAGGTTGCAAAGAGGTTGAAGTTGCAAAATGGGACATTCCAACTCAAGTATTTGGATGATGAAGAGGAATGGGTGATGTTAGTCAGCGATGCAGATTTGCAGGAGTGTCTTGAGATACTGGATGACATCGGAAAGCGTTGTGCTAAGTTCATGGTCCGTGATATACCTTCCGGCGTGGGTAGTTCTGGAAGTAGCAACTTTCTGGGGTAAATTTTGTGTTTGCTTTTATAGTATACTTGATAGGAATTTTCTACTAGCTTTATATTCTACTTCCTATGGGGTTAAGTACTTCCATGGTGGTGGGAGGGGACGTTGATGAGATGGTCACCAATTCAGACGTCATTGCTCCTTTCTAATATTAGCAGGTTGGGTATTAAAATAGTTCCGAATTAAGCAAAGAGAAGATATGGCCTATATGATCCATGTTACAATAAGCTCTGTATATGTTAGAATGGATGTAGTCATAGAAAGGTTAGAGGGGTATTAATCTGCAATGCTTAATCCCAGTTTGTACAGATCATATATAATATATATATGAACTTGAAGAGATAAAATTTCCATGAAGTGAAACACTTTTATCTTTCAAATCAGTTTTGTTCTAAGGGAAAAGTATTTTAGGCCACAATGTGCTCGTCAAATATAGTTCACTTCTATCACCGCCACCGATGGAGTTCATGCTTGCTGATGTTGGGATTGCAATGGGGCATTTCTCTGGAACTGAGGTATCTAGTTGTTTTCGCCTGTTCAATCATACTTTTCAGCGCTTGTTATAATTCCCTTATTTGGTAGCTTAAGTTTGATTTTCTTCTTTCTTCCGACTTGTTGCATTTTGTTGCTTCTTTTTGTACGAGGTCACCTGAGAATGCTCTCACTAACATTCACTTGAAACTTGATTATGCTGGACAGGATTGGGATGTACGCTGGACTGGCAACTGTCGGCATATTCGTTATTTGGCATACACATGGTTTTTCTCGAGTCTTAATCTCAGTGGGGATGGCTCCCCCCGTGTCACATAAACCCAGCTCGCCAATTGGGGATAGTCTCAGATTTTCTCCTTTGATAATAACCCCTGTGATGATTTCCATGGTGTCCCTCTTCGTGTTGATCCCCATCAAAATGTTCAACTCTCTCGGGGCCCTCTCGCTTTCTGAGGACAGAAGCCTTGTGCCAATGCCCCATGGATAAACTCCTGGCTCCGCACGGTCGTGTCTGTTTCATTTGGCCCGCACTTCTTTATCCTCCATGCGCCATTCTTTGTTCAAGTATCCCGTGTTGTGCCCCTGAGCTAGAACGAGCGGCGGCTTTGGCGGTTGCATTTCCGGTAGTTCTCGTTAATATGATCCTGAAGTTTGTGGAGAGATGGACAAGCAGGTTTCAACTTTCGCATAAGCAGAGCCCCTGATCCAAATATCTTTGCTAGGTTTTATATATTTTGTTTCTGTGTTCATTAAACATTTTGGTGGTTGTGAAAACTGGTTTAACTTTTCCCCCTTCATATCCGCAAATTATCCGAGTGAAAATCTTTTGCCTACCAGGCTGATCCGTGCAAAGTTCTGTAACGTGGTAGATACAGTGGAATTTACTTCCCAGGCTCATAAGCACATTGTGTAAGAATCGTCGTTCACTAGAAACGCGTAGAAAGTTTAATTAAATAAAGGTGCCCTTTTGAATGCTTGTGAGCACTTTTTTTAAAAGCACTTATTGACTGTCAAATTCGTTTATATTATATTTAGATGAACAAATTTAAGATTACTAACGAATTTTAAAATGACAGAAATTGAAATGACGGGAATTTATTTTGTGGAATTTGTGAATTTTCTTCTTTGGTTAACTTAAAAGAACATTGGAATTGAATACAGAATTTGTTATTTTTAAACTTTTAATCATAGAAATTGAAAAATGACACTTATTTACATAGAATTTAAACTTGGGAATTGGAGGTCTTAAATTCTAAGGTTTTTTTCCACGTGGAAATTCTAAATTTCTATGTTTATGAATCTAAACAAGAAGATTGGTGTATGTCAATTATAAATTCTGATTTTGCCCAAATTCCAAGTTTATTTCCCTCATTCAAACACAGTGTTATAACTATGTTTGACAAAAAAATTTAGAAGCGCTTTTGGCTCATGGAAGATTTTTTAGAAGCACCCGTCATGTGCTATTTTAGAAAGCACTTCGAAGGGCTTTTGGATTTTTGATAGAAATCTCCAATGTGTTCACAAGAAAAGGTACTTCTAGCATAAGTGCTTTTTATGAGTAGTTACCAAAACTAGGGACCGAGCGTTGTAACAAACCTCTATTTGTACTGATTCAGAAAGGCCAGGCCCATTTTAGGCCCAATACAACCGTTCGATTATTGAAAACGTATCGTGGCCGTCCAACCGGTCGGTTCGTTCTATAAATTATGCGGAGTCCCTCTCTCTATCTCATTGTGTTCCGCAAGCGTGATTAGGGTTACATCGAAATTTGGGGATTTTTGTAAGCATTCAAGGTACGCACCTGTAACAACATAAAATTAGGAATTTTTTAGGGTTTTCTTGTTTATTATACATTCTCGGGGGGTTTGTTTCACAAATTTTGGATTTTTATTCCATATGATGGTGTTCAAATTTGATTCGATATGTTTATGCGATAATTTTCTTTTGAATTTATGCGTTGAGCTAACATATTAGTGGATTCTGGGTTTGTTTCGAGGTTAATTACCGGTTGTAATTACGAATTAGGGATTCTTATTTGTGAAAGCAAAGCGTGTCTTTAGAGCTGGTTTATGGTTGGATTGCTCAAGATGAAGAATTGGTGTAGTGTGAATATTTATTGGGTCCCATTCAAATTTTATGGATACTAATGATTTGGGTCTTTTGCTTGTTAACGTTTTGAAAATTCATTAATCGATACAATCGAGAGTATGAAGATGTTCTGCTGTTTAGTGTTTTATTATTAATAATGTTAAATTACTGATTTTGAAATTTTACCAAGGTTTCACATAGGGCCTGGTGCTTATAATGATAACGAACTTTCCTGCAGCTTGACAATGCCTCGTTATGATGATCGATATGGCAACACCCGTCTTTATGTTGGTCGGTTGTCTTCACGCACGCGTTCACGTGATCTAGAACGGCTGTTCAACAGATATGGAAGGTAATAAGTAATGTCCTTTTTTAGAATGCGATTTGAGTGACAAAATTTCTGTTTATCCAATTTATTTGATATCACAATGGTTATCCTAATGCGTCTTATTACTTAAATGTAATGTTAAACTAATCTATTTGTAAGAGCTGTCAAAATATTCCACCAAAAAGGTTGGGGACCTTTTGGTTTCTTGCCAAGCTTGCTTTAGTGCTTGGTTTAATGTAACTTTTCAGCTTGTGTGTGGGAGCTTTTAGCCCCAAGTGTTTTCTTAACTTGAATGATCTTGTTGAAGGTTTCTTGGGTTTGGTGGCCTTACTTGGAGGTCTATGGTGGGAGGGTGACCTTGGTGGAATTGGTGGAAATTTTGCCGAGTGTGGCCTTGGTGGAAAATCTTGCAGAGTGTATAGGAGACTTTGGCGATTCTTTCTGTAGTCTTATTGCTTGTTTTATCGAAATGGCAACAATCTCAATCTGGTGTTTAGTTTGTCTGTGACGGGCGAAGTATCATACACTTGAAGTTCTTAAAGTAATGATAGCCTTACTGTTTCTGGAAACCGTTTACGCAGAGTACGTGATGTGGACATGAAGCGGGAGTTTGCTTTTGTTGTAAGTTTTTATTTCCTCTTCTTTCTGATTTTTTTGCTTACAATGTTTTCTTGAGATCCGTTTATGGATCATATAACCCAATATTGGTTGGTTCCTTTTGTGGCTTCTGCTCTCACCTTCTGATAATAGGACTTTAGTGATCCTCGAGATGCTGATGATGCAAGATATAGCTTAGATGGTCGGGAATTTGATGGAAGTCGTCTCATTGTGGAATTTGCAAAAGGGGTAAGTTTATTAGCTGGATGTTTCTTTCCGAGTAAAATACCTATACATGTTATAGTTGGATTGTTTCAAGTTGAATTAAAATGCCCCATGTACTTTCGTGATTGCTTGCCAACTACTGTACTCTTAATCTTGTTTGATCTTCCACCTAAATCCGTCATATCTACGCCCCCTTATATTGTTGTGTTAGTTTTTCAGGTTTGTGTTTGTGTTCATTTATTGTATCAGACTGATAGTTTTTTCTTTGTTACTTTGGGGAAGGCACCACGTGGTTCGCGGGAATATTTAGGCAGAGGTCCTACTCCTGGATCTGGACGTTGCTTTAATTGTGGCATTGACGGCCACTGGGCTCGTGATTGCAAGGCTGGGGACTGGAAGAATAAGTGCTATCGCTGTGGAGAAAGAGGCCATATTGAAAGGCAGTGCAAAAATAGTCCAAAGGAATTAAGGTTGGTACTTGTTATCAAGTCTTTTTTCATTGTTTGTCGTTATTCCTCTTCCCTTTTTTTGGATGAATCTCTGTAGCAGCCTTTATTTCACATTGCTCAACTTGTATTTCAGTCGCGGGCGGAGTCGCTCACCAGTTGGATCACGTTCTCGCCGTGGAAGAAGCCGTAGCCCAAGTTACAGCCGAAGCCGCAGCTATAGGTCAGTATGCTCTCGATCCTGATAATGTCTATGAGGAATTTTATGATAATAGAGCATGTGCTATTTTTAATTTTGATATGGTTATATGCCAACATCCTACACATCTTACTGTAGTTATCTGGACTTTTGTAGTGAGTTAAGCGAATTACATGATTGGGGTATAGAAGGCTTGATAGTGTTCTTTTTTCTAGAGAACGAGCAAAGTAATATCCTCTTGCAAATTAATCCTGATGGGAAATGTTAAACAAACTTAGATTCAGATGCATGATTTTCCTTGGGATACGCCTACATATTCCATATATTTATATTTATCAACCAGATCATTTCTTATTGGCAGCCGTTCAAGGTCCCCAGCAAGGAGAGGGCGAAGTGAGGATCGCTATGACAGATCACGGAGCCCTTCTTACAGGAAGAGTCCACTGCCCTCAAAAGGAGGGAGGAAGCGCAGCCTGACACCTGATGTAGACAGTCCTCGTGGGAGACGTAGCCCTTCCCCCAGAAATGGTAGAATGGAAATGGAGAAAGAGGGCTCTGATTACAGCCCCAGGGTAAGAAGTAGAAGTCCGGTTAGCCCCAGGTTAAGGAGCAGAAGTCCTGTTAGCCCTGGTAGAGACAGCCCTGTTGTCAGGAAGTATCCAAGCCCTTCTGAAGCCGATGGTCGCGGTCGCAGTCCCAGTCCCGATCGGAGCCCCGTCGCTGATTATGATGATGACAACCGTCGCACTCCCAGAGGCAGCGAGTCACCATAGGGTTCTGGGGAAAAGAAATGTCATTTGCTCGGGTAAACTTTAATATAAAATGTTAGTTTTCTTGTTGATTGTATTTAACTTGGTATTCTCTTAGTTTTCTTGTCGGACTAATTTTGGTCATATGTTGTGTTGTCGGACAGTCTAGTAAAAATGTATCTTTGCTATTCAGAATTCGGGTTTCTGTTTGATAACGAAGGAACTTATATTTTGGGCTGAAAACAACTTAATTCTATACAGCAAGCTAGCAAGCTACATTGTGCAAGTTTCGAATGAATGTCTACCACTACGGAATGGATCTTCGTATTCTTTCGTTTTATGGTGAAAATAAATTATTCTTTCTTCCAGTTCGCTGTGCGATTTGCACTATTGCGATACATGGCGAATTTGGCTAAAACAAACAATGATCGCAATAGTGCAAATCATAGATACATTCCGTACCTACAATCAGATTGCGCACTCTACATTACAAATCTTGAGAGTTGAGACGGGCTGGGGTCTTATGCTTCTTCAGCATGTACCTAATGCAACCAATTTTGAATTGTATGAATGAGTTCGATATGTGCTTGTTGCGTCTTCTCTAAGTGTAAGATCCATAGCTCGTCTCAGGTACCAGGACAATTATGAATTCATTACCAAGACAACATAATTACAAAGAAAGAGCCGTAGTTACAATAAGCGCACAGCTAATTTGGACCTCTAAAGTACAGCAAAAAATTCAAAATTCAAAACAGACGACTATTTTAGATCCGAATCACTTGTCAAATGATCCGTCAATCAATAATCTAGTACTAGTGTGTTCTACACAATCAAAGGTAAAGAAGCTCTCAATCGTATTTGGGAATGGTTTCATCTCATAAGTGTGTCCTATTGATCGAATCACCAAATAGTAGTTATGTCACTACTCACGAAGTTATCCTTCCGAAAAATGTGTTCATCATATTGATTAAAACAATTCAGAATTTGTGCAACCTTTGCTTGCTGCAATTTTGTCGTTTTGACTTCTTGTTTTTGTTGCCAAGATGAGTTTAGTATGATTTATGTGTTCTAAATAGTTTTGAAGTAAAAACAATATATATATAATAATCATAATATTTTACTTTAGGAGAGCTATAGCGTCCTAAGTTACATAGTTAGCTTTAATATATATATACATATATATATATTTTTTAAAGAGAACACCTGGTGGTAAGTCACGACTATCTATCATTTCCAGGCCTAGAGAGATTATAGAGAATTTCACTATGCCCATGGCCAAAATCATGCAGACTCATTAGCTCGGAGTATCAAACCTAAGACATTCCACATTGTTTTGTTTATTGGGGAGCTACTTCGCGCCCTTACTACTGAACCATTTGTTGTGGTTAGATAGTTAGCTTTAATAAGAGTAGATGAATCATGGGGTCAAATGACATAAACATAATTTATTCTGTCATTGCGATAAAATGTCATTAGTAATATAATATAATTTAATTGCCCATTCTCCACATTATTTGCATATAACTTTCCAATAAGCAGGAACCCATTTTCGATTTGAAATGCGTTCTTGATAAATTTACATAGGCAAATTTTGGAATTTACTACACCCTTAGCTGTAAAGAGTAATCGTTGAAGCTCCGTATTTTAACAAGGGCAAACTTGTGATTGGAAATAAATAGATTATGTATACCACTGTGAATCCAAGTAACCAAACAAACCGAAACCACCGCCACCGCTAACTCTTATCCAAAAATGTCCAACGCGGTGGCGCTGCCCTGTCTTGGCATAGTGAGCATGGCGCGCCGGCCGCGCCAGACGGCCAAGACAAAGAAAACCCGGGTCCCGAATCCGACACCGCCGACGAGTGTCGGGTTCGGAGCCAAAAGGAAGGAGCAGAAGTGGCAGTGCGTGGAGGGCTGCGGAGCTTGCTGCAAACTCGACAAAGGCCCCTCCTTTGCCACCCCAGAAGAGATTTTCACCAACCCTTCCGACATCGAGGTTTGATTTCTCAAAATCTCCGAGAAATTCATGAATTTCGTCAAAATTTGGAGTTTGATTTGTATGAATTTCAGCTTTACAGAAACATGGTCGGAGAAGATGGGTGGTGTGTGAATTTTAATAAAAGCACGCGAAAGTGTTCGATTTACGACGGTGAGGCATTTTTCTTTGGTTATGTTTGAAACGCACCGTTTTGTATTGGATGGATTGTTATCTTACTTTGATTTTTGAGGTGTTTGACAGAACGTCCATATTTTTGCCGTGTGGAGGCTGAGGTGTTTCACTCCTTGTATGGGTTTAGTGAGAAGAAATTCAACAAGGAGGCCTGCAGGTGGTCTTATTATTATTATTATTATTATTATTATTATTATTATTATTATTATTATTTACATCTTTAATTAGTTTCGTAAAATACACGCAAATAGAACTCGTTACAAACAGCTGATCACATAGAACTCGAGGGACACTAAGACGTCACAAAAGGATCTCAGAACTTTCATTTATATGTCTTTTTCTCTTTTTAGTATCGTTCCGGTTCTATTTTAGAGACGCTTGGACCGGTTCTATTTGTGCGTATTTTCATTTCTAATTTGGCTCATGCTTCCATGTTTTGATTGTAGGAGCTGCAGGGACACAATTAAATCAGTTTATGGTCCCCATTCCAAAGAGTTGGTTAACTTCAATAGTGCAGTAGAGAGCTCCAGCAGCACTACTAGTTAAATTAGTGCAATTTGCACCATTAGTTGTCACAGGCTTAGCTGCAAATCAATAGGCTTTCAGGCATGGAGGTGAAACAGATTTTGGCAGAGCTTCAATTTTGATGGACCTTCAGAAGTTCCTCAATCGGTTGCGAGTTTTTCAGCACCTGCAGATTTTGAGAGGAACAATGTAGGCTCGTTGAAAGCCACGATGAATTCGGATTCGAAAGTGCTTGTTTGTGTGTGCTTTTATGTTCAGCACTTCTGTACAATGTTGAGGCCTTCCCCAATCTTATGTACCAAAATCATCTTGAAATGAATTGATACTGCAGAAAGAACTCAACTTGATTAACATTGCCTTTTGTTCATTATTATTATTGTTATTTTTGTTGCATTTGGTATCTATTTTAGTGGAGTAAACCATAATGACAATACAATATTCTAAACTACTATAATTTACGAGAAACGGGCTTCAGGGCCATCCTCCTGGAGAACTAACCGCACCCCAATCAGACACAGGTGAACAAGGATGTAAGAACTGTTGATTATTGACTCAAACATGTAGACAAAGTCCAAATCTTTGGGCTACTTTTGTGGTCAAAATTGTTGGATGGCATGCTACATGTGGGAAACCAAAATTGGATGCACTTATGCCTAATTCTTTTTGACTTGATGTTAGGCCTTTGGCCATTGATGTCTTTGAGAAGCTTTTCTTTGGCTATAAAAGGAGAGCAAGGTGTAACCCATAAGCATGGAGAAGTAGAGAAGAACAAGGAAGAGAGAAAAATAGCAAGAAGCCATTTGGCATAGAGAAGAATTTTCTCAAATTGTCTTGCTTTGTATTTTTTTGGTTTTCTCTTCCTATTGTAAAGTGTGAGAGCTTGGGGTTATTTGGGTCTTTGGGAAATTGAGTGATAAAACACTATTGTATGTTCTCATTGATTATAGTGGAATACTCCGTCGTCTCCAAACTGGATGTAGGCATTGCCGAACCAGTATAAATCTTGGTGTTCTTGTTGGTGTTGTTTTTTTATTCTGTTCTGTCTTACTATTCACTTACAGTCGTACGCCGCTTCCGCACAACAAGTGGTATCAGAGCCCAGTTCCGTGAATAGTGTTGGCGCTACAGTTCAGTGAACAGTGAACTGCTACAATATCTGTGAACAGTATTGTACCTGTGAACAGTGCCGTATTTGTGAACAGTACCGAGTAGATGGCTGGAGATAAAGATGAATCTGTAAGGAAGGAGTCAGCATCGTCTTCGTCTTCATCCAATAGACATCCAACCACTACTACAAGGTTAGAGGTTGATAAATTCAATGGCTCTAATAATTTTGGTATGTGGCAATGTGAAGTTATGGATGTGTTGTATCAACAAGAGTTGGATATGGTTCTGGAAGATAAACCAGAAGATATTGATGACAAGCAGTGGACGCGAATTAATCTTCATGCTTGTGCTGCTATTCGATCGTTCCTTGATAAGGAGTTGAAATACCCGTATATGAAGGAAACTTCTGCTAAGGAGTTATGGACGAAATTGGAGGAGAAGTATATGACCAAGAGCGCAGAAAATCGTCTCTTCTTGAAGAAGCGACTCTTCCGATTTCAGTAGTATCGTCCAGGTATCTCTATGCACGAACACCTCAATGATTATATATAAAATACTTGCTGATTTAGCAAACCTTGATGTGAAAATTCCTGACGAGGACAAGGCACTATGTTTTGTTAAATTCATTGCCTGATGATTTATGATCATTTGACAACTACTCTGTTGTATGGAAAATCCGAGGTGAAACTTGATGAGGTGTCTGCGGCATTGGTGAATCATGAGTGTCGTAAGAAGGAACCTGAAGACTCACAATTCACAAACCGAGGCATTTTGTTGCAAGGGGTCGAACAGAGGGAAAGAAAATCTGGGAAGCGGGAAAATCTCGTTCAAAGTCACGAGGGAAGTTTCCTGCTAAAGATGAATGTGCTTTTTGTCGCCAAAAGGGGCATTGGAAGAAAGACTGCCCCAAATTTGAAGAACAAAGAGAAGGAGAAAAGCGGGTTCTGAAGCAAATATTGCAAAATCTGGAGATGATGATTTCGAGTTTGCTTTGGCTAGTTCATATGCTGATGGTCACTCAAATGAGTGGATTTTGGATTCAGGTTGCACCTATCATATGTGTCCCCATTCGAGAATGGTTTTCTAATTTCGAGGAGCTGGATGGTGGAGTTGTTTTGATGGGTAATAATAATGCCTGCAAAACACAAGGGATAGGCAAAATCTGTTTGAAGATGCATGATGGAACAGTCAGAGAATTAAGTGATGTTCGGTATGTACCGGATATGAAGAAAAAATCTCATCTCACTGGGTGCATTGGAATCCAAGGGTCTCAAGATCACCATGGAGGGTGGAGTTCTTAAAGCTGTGTACGGGGGCACTGTGGTGGTGATGAAAGGTACAAGACGAAATAACTTGTATTTCTTGCAGGGGAGTACAGTTATTGGTGGAGCAGCTGTCACCGAAGCTGCTAACGCAGATAGCACAGACACCACGAGGTTATGGCATATGCGTCTTGGGCATGCTGGTGAAAAAGCATTGCAAGGATTGGTGAAGCAAGGCTTATTGAAAGGTGCAAAGGCATGCAAATTGGAATTCTGTGAGCATTGTGTGTTGGGTAAGCAAACTAGAGTAAAATTTGGCACTGCTATTCACCACACTAAAGGCATTCTTGATTATGTTCACACTGATGTTTGGGGACCTTCCAAGAATGCATCTTGGGGAGGTAGCCATTATTTTTGTCTCCTTTGTTGATGACTTCTCTAGAAGAATATGGGGTGTACACCATGAAGCGTAAAGATGAAGTCTTGAAGATATTCCTGAAGTGGAAAAAGATGATTGAAACGCAAAGCGGTCGAAAGATCAAGACTCTCAGATCAGACAATGGGGGTGAATATAAGTCTGATCCTTTCTTGAAAGTTTGTCAAGATGAGGGTATTGTGAGGCACTTCACGGTTAGGGAGACACCGCAAACAGAATGGGGTGGCAGAGCGCATGAACCGTACTTTGCTTGAGAAAGTTCGGTGTATGTTGTCTAATGCTGGATTTAGGCAAGGCGTTTTGGGCTGAGGCACTCACTTATGCAAGCCATCTCATTAATCGATTGCCAGCTGCTGCGAATGAGGGCAAAACGCCCATGGAGGTATGGTCTAGTAAACCTTGTACTGATTACAAGTTTTTACACATATTTGGGTTGTTCTGCTTACTATTATGTCAGAGAAAGCAAGTTGGATCCAAGAGCAAAGAAAGCTCTATTTATGGGCTTTTAGCACTGGCGTGAAGGGATACCGACTCTGGTGTCCAGATGAGAAGAAATTTGTTGTAAAGCAGAGATGTGACTTTTGATGAGGCTGCTGCTATGGTTAATCAGAACAAGCATGAAGGTGAAACTGAAGCGACCGAGACCATGAGTAGCTCAAAGCAGGTGGAGTTACTGAAGACTCCAGTTGTTCCAGTAAGGTCTGATGTTTCAAACACTAGTCCTACAGTTAATTCTGATGATGAGGACGAGGATGATGAAGAGGAGGCACCTACCCAAGAGCCTCCACAGCAACAAGACTATATTGCAACCAGAAGATCGAGAAGGGAAATCCGAAAGCCTGCTCGATTTACTGATATTGTGGCATATGCACTTCCCGTTATTGAAGATGATATTCCATCCGCCTACAAAGAAGCTGTCATGAGTTCAGAGTGCGAGTTGTGGAAGAAATCTCTATGGATGAGGAGATGAAATCTCTTCATAAAAATGAGACTTGGAAGCTGGTTCAGTTACCAAAGGGGAAGAAAGCAATTGGTTGTAAATGGGTGTATGCCAAAAAGATGGAATCTTTGGGAAAAGACAATGTAAGATTCAAAGCCAGATTGGTAGCTAAAGGCTACGCTCAGAAGGAAGGCATTGACTACAATGAGGTATTTCTCCTGTAGTAAAAACATTCTTCTATTCGTATTCTGTTGGCTTTGGTTGTGCAGTTTGACCTTGAGTTGGCCCAACTTGATGTCAAGACTGCGTTCTTACATGGTGATTTGGAGGAAGAGATTTATATGTCTCAGCCAGAAGGTTTTTAAGGTTGCTGGAAAGGAAAATTGGGTTTGCAAATTGGAAAAATCATTGTATGGCTTGAAGCAGTCTCCAAGACAATGGTACAAGCGATTTGATCGATTTATGATCGGGCAGAAGTACACAAGAAGTCACTATGACCATTGTGTATACTTTCGCAAACTACAAGATGGAACCTTCATTTATCTGCTTTTATATGTTGATGATATGCTTATAGCATGTAAGAGCAAAGTGGAGATTACAAGGTTGAAGACTCAACTAAGTAATGAATTTGAGATGAAGGACTTGGGAGAAGCTCGGAAGATACTAGGTATGGAAATTGAAAAGAGATAGAGCGAAGGGCAAGATTAGTCTGTGTCAGAAGCAATATTTGAAAGAAGGTACTACAACGTTTCAGGATGAATGAAAATTCAAAACCGGTTAGTACACCTCTTGCCTCTCATTTCAAACTTAGCGCTTCTATGTCTCCTAAAACTGTTGAAGAGAGTCAGTACATGGCTCAAATTCCTTATGCAAATGTTGTTGGTAGTTTTGATGTATGCTATGGTGTGTACTAGGCCTGATATTTCACAAGCTGTTAGTATTGTCAGTAGATATATGCATAATCCAGGAAAAGGGCATTGGCAAGCTGTGAAATGGATTCTACGGTATATTCTGGGTACTGTGGATGTTGGTTTATTGTTCCAGCAGGATAAAGTTACTGGTAAATGTGTTGTTGGATATGTGGATTCTGATTACGCAGGTGATTTGGACAAGCGTAGGTCCACTACTGGTTTTGTATTCTCTATTGCTGGAGGTCCAGTAAGTTGGAGGTCGATTCTGCAATCTACAGTTGCTTTGTCGACTACTGAGGCAGAATACATGGCTGTGACAGAAGCTATAAAGGAAGCCATCTGGCTTCAAGGGTTGCTTGATGACTTAGGGGTTCAACAAGACCATGTGGATGTTCATTGTGACAGTCAGAGTGCTATTCATTTAGCAAAGAATCAAGTTCATCATGCACGTACGAAACACATTGACGTGAGGTTCCATTTTGTTCGTGAGATTATTGATGAGGGAGATATTCTTCTTCAGAAGATTGGGACCGCTAACAATCCTGCAGATATGTTAACAAAGCCAGTTTCGTTGCACAAGTTTAAGCACTGCTTAGACTTGATTGGCATTTGTAAAATTTGTTGATTGCCCCATGGGGGATTGGGAGACGACTATTTGGAGTTCTACTTAGAGGGTTTGAGTCAAGGTGGAGATTGT